CTTACCTCACGCTGACCATCAGAGGTGATGGAGAAACAATCGCACGCTCTTCAGGTCTTGTGGTTTTACACCCCATGCAGCAGAACTTCACCTCATAACCCTGAAAACTATGTTTTTTAATGTTTTTATTTAGGTCAGTGAATACTCCCAGATTTGTGCCAGAATTCAGTAAGCCTGTTAGCATAAAGCTTTAGTTAGTACAGCAGTGTAGACATTTGGGAAAAGGACTTTTTGTGTATTTCCACATCTGTGTATATACTTCTTTTGTACAGAAAAGCAGGAACTATGTAGCACATTGAGCTCTGGCTTTAAAAAACAATGGCTTTTTTTATATTTGTGGTCATGTGGATTAAGACATTTCTGTAAATATAAGGAGAGCATGGCTAGGTAACAAAATACAGTCAGCGTAGGGCTGGACGATATGGCCAAAATTTATATCACGATATATTTCTTAATTTCGGTCGATACGATATAATTCTGATATCGATATGAACACTATTAAAAAAGCCTCATAAAAACGGCCAAGAACGGCCACAACAGATGTCTGTACCTTCAAACTTATGAAAAATTAATTTGCCAACTCTATGAAACCTACTCCTATAAAACGATATAATATTTTAGGAAAAAAATGGCGCAAATAAATAAATGTTCACCTTTTATTGGTATTTAGCCTTCATACAAACAAGAAATGTGAAATCACTGTCAAATAAATCTCAGACTCTCCTTATTAATATGAATATTTTTTACTTCAAACTATAGGCTAACATACCAGTCAAAAGTTGTTGAACAGTAATTTTGGTTTTAAAACGTGCAGTGCTCATGTTTATTCAACAAAGTCAAATGCCATAAATAAATCAATGTATGGGAAACACTGGTAATGTATATCGAAATATCGGAAATGTGTTTAAAAATCATATCACCGTTATTGAAAAAAATTATATCGCGATACATATTGATATTGAATTATTGTCCAGCCCTAAGTCAGCATGACACTGAGAAAGGATAGATTTAGTAATTTCACTGGTCCCGATTGCCTCTCGGCAGATTGAAGTAAAAGCATTTAGAGCAAATTCTTGTTCCTTTAATCTGTCAGAAAGATCTCCCGCTGAGAGGGTCTTATCTTTACTACAGCATTATCTGTTTCATGTTTTCTCACTCTGTGTGTGTGTGTGTGTGTGTGTGTTGCTGTGTTTGTGTGGCTGTGTTAATGGCTTTAGATTGAGAAACATGCTCCGAGTTGCTTCAGAAAACAAAAAAATAGAGCAACAACAAAAGCATGTTGCTGGAAATGGGTTTATTATTGAAAATGCAAACTGCTTGTCTGCCAGCAGGAGGCGCTGTGAGAGCGGCAGAACTAGCGGTTTCTCCAGTAATGGCTGTAAACAAAGCAGCTCCGCTCATGAACTATTAATTCTGCTGGTCCCGATTGCCTCTCGGCAGATTGAAGTAAAAGCATTTAGAGCAAATTCTTGTTCCTTTAATCTGTCAGAAAGATCTCCCGCTGAGAGGGTCTTATCTTTACTAAAGCATTATCTGTTTCATGTTTTCTCACTCTGTGTGTGTGTGTGTGTGTGTGTGTGTGTGTGTTGCTGTGTTTGTGTGGCTGTGTTAATGGCTTTAGATTGAGATAGATGGATAAATCTTTGTCATTCGTGTTGAAGAAAGCCTAACTGAAATTCTTTTTAGGCCAAAAAATAAACTCCAAAATATTAAATAACAAAAATAAACTGGACTGGTCAGAAAGAATATGGCATTTTACATGACTTTATCTCTCATTAAAAGACACATCTGCCCATGTTTTGACTCGTTTGACCTTTTCACGCTTCATACTGGCAATAAACCGCTGTTGATTGGTTGGTGGGGAACTGAAAGATGCTGATTAATTAATTAAGAGGGACACTGTTTCATGTTTTCTCACTCTGTGTGTGTGTGTGTGTGTGTGTGTTGCTGTGTTTGTGTGGCTGCGTTAATGGCTTTAGATTGAGATAGATGGAGAAATCTTTGTCATTCGTGTTGAAGAAAGCCTAACTGAAATTCTTTTTAGGCCAAAAAATAAACTCCAAAATATTAAATAACAAAAATAAACTGGACTGGTCAGAAAGAATATGGCATTTTACATGACTTTATCTCTCATTAAAAGACACATCTGCTCATGTTTTGACTCGTTTGACCTTTTCACGCTTCATACTGGCAATAATCTTTATTTTTTCCCCATTTATAAATGAAAAGAAATAACTTATAACCTACACTTGCTGACTAATGGCAGTCAAGCGTAAGGTTTCTTGCTTCAAAATCAGTCATAATGTAGTTTTACTTGAACCGTTTTTTCACTTGACTGTATTATTAGTACACAACAGGCTGTGTTTGCTACTGTGACTTTAAGAATCTCTATATTCAAATGACCTCATTTTTAATTTGATAAAGACCAGCGTGTGTGTATTTCTCTTTGAAAACAAAAAAATAGAGCAACAACAAAAGCATGTTGCTGGAAATGGGTTTATTATTGAAAATGCAAACTGCTTGTCTGCCAGCAGGAGGCGCTGTGAGAGCGGCAGAACTAGCGGTTTCTCCAGTAATGGCTGTAAACAAAGCAGCTCCGCTCATGAACTATTAATTCTGCTGGTCCCGATTGCCTCTCGGCAGATTGAAGTAAAAGCATTTAGAGCAAATTCTTGTTCCTTTAATCTGTCAGAAAGATCTCCCGCTGAGAGGGTCTTATCTTTACTAAAGCATTATCTGTTTCATGTTTTCTCACTCTGTGTGTGTGTGTGTGTGTGTGTGTTGCTGTGTTTGTGTGGCTGCGTTAATGGCTTTAGATTGAGATAGATGGAGAAATCTTTGTCATTCGTGTTGAAGAAAGCCTAACTGAAATTCTTTTTAGGCCAAAAAATAAACTCCAAAATATTAAATAACAAAAATAAACTGGACTGGTCAGAAAGAATATGGCATTTTACATGACTTTATCTCTCATTAAAAGACACATCTGCTCATGTTTTGACTCGTTTGACCTTTTCACGCTTCATACTGGCAATAAACCGCTGTTGATTGGTTGGTGGGGAACTGAAAGATGCTGATTAATTAATTAAGAGGGACAGCGGTCTTATTGATTATGAAACATCTCCGGCCGTTAATTAATGGTAATGTGGTGTTAAATCAGAGCGTCAGTTAATGGATTGAGGTCAAGAATGTGAGCGTAAATTCTAAAGTGTGCAATGTAATTCTTATTCTACAGCTATTGAATATTAATGGGATTTTTCTGGCCCCTGTATTGAACATCATGTTGGAAAAAAGTATATATATATACTAGTAATTTATTGTAATGATATTTCTGATATTTAATATTTAATCAAATATATCATAACATAACAATGTTATGAAATATTTTATAGTAAATATTAAAAAAAAATTCTGTAATATTATAATTTCAATACATAATAATCATAGTAATATATAATAATTGTAGTAATTTATTGTGTGTGAGTGGTGAATGACCATGGTGAATATTAACTTCTCTAATGAAGTTGTCTTGGAGCACAAGACAGCATCTGTGTTTGAGTTATTAACTACAGTGTAGGTTGAGTCACTTAACGTTGCTAAATTTACAAGCAACACCTCTGAAACCTATATCCACCTCTAACTGCTTCTCAAAGCTGCCGTCACTCTACACTCCATTAGCACGGTCCAAAGTACAGTATCATTGCTTTGAAAAGCCTCTCCTGAAAAGGGAAATATGTTGGAGGCATTGTGCTGTGGCTGATAAGAACTGACATGTTTGGGATGTGTTTGCAGAAATCTAGGGTTTGCTTTTAGTTCAGGGGCAACATGGGAGTCTGGCATGGCGTCCCTGAGGGAAAGTGCTCTAATGTGCGCGCACACACACACACCCACACCAATCACACTCACTCAGCTCCAACTTAACTCAGGACCCACACACACAGAAAACATGGCCGCCACGTGCCTCCAGTCAGGCTAATGCTGCAGCGGGATGTTAGTTATGCCTCGCTGGAGGAGGTAACGAGAGCTGATAGGAAACCTCCCTCAGATAACATCACAAAACTCCTCTCTTCAGATTGCTGCTTTATTTTTTCCCAATTTATAAATGAAAAGAAATAACTTATAACCTACACTTGCTGACTAATGGCAGTCAAGCGTAAGGTTTCTTGCTTCAAAATCAGTCATAATGTAGTTTTACTTGAACCCTTTTTTCACTTGACTGTATTATTAGTACACAACAGGCTGTGTTTGCTACTGTGACTTTAAGAATCTCTATATTCAAATGACCTCATTTTTAATTTGATAAACACCAGCGTGTGTGTATTTCCCTTTTCAGAAGGAAATGGTTGGATGGAAGGATAGTTATTATACATATGTATATATCTAATTTTGTGTGTTTTTTAATAAACACATTATAAGAAATAGGTCAACAAGTATGTGTGTGTATATATGTACAATATAAGTGTATATACAGTTGAAGTCAAAAGTTTACATACACCTTACATACACCTTGGAAATACTTTACCAAAATAAGAGGGATCATACCAAATGCATGTTATTGTTTATTTAGTACTGACCTGAATAAGATATTTCACACAAAATATGTTTACATATAGTCCACAAGATAAATAATGTAATGGTTAATATAATAATAATAATAGTTGAATTTATTTATAAAAATTACCCCATTCAAAAGTTTACATCCCCTTGATTCTTAATACTGTGTTCTTACCTGAATTTTGAGATCCATCTTTTCACACTGAGGACAACTGAGGGACTCATATGCAACTATTACGTAAGGTTCAAACGCTCACTGATGCTCCAGGAGGAAAAAAACATTAAGAGCCAGAATGGAGATATGTACTTGTGTACATCGATCTGTCTTTTAATATTTAATATTTATTATCTATACTTTTATATATTATATATAATTTATGTAATTTATTACAATAGTAATTTTTCTGAATATGAATACAATCAAACTTTTTCCCCTTCTTCTTCGATAGCATGTCGGTCAGGCTTCTACAAGGCCTCTGCTATGGATGCGTACTGCGTGAAGTGCCCCCCACACAGCTACTCCCACCAGGACAAGGCTTCTGAGTGTGTGTGTGAGAGAGGCTTCTACAGGGCCGAATTGGACCCTCGCTCTATGGCGTGCACAAGTAAGCTAAGGATCTTGTGGCTTCCTAAATATTAATAAAAATAAAGCATTGAAACATCCAGTTCATTATTGTGTTTTGATTATTTGATTTGGTTAAGTGCTCAACTGATGTGCTTTACTTGTGTGTATGTTCATCAGGGCCACCTTCGGCACCCGGCAATCCCATTTCCATGGTGAACGAGACTGCAGTCACACTAGAATGGAGTCCTCCTCGTGAAAGTGGTGGACGTGGAGATGTGTCCTACAGTGTCCACTGCAGGAAGTGCTCTGGAGAAGCAGGGGCTGCAGGAGACCGGGAAAAGTGCGTTCCCTGTGGTAGCGGTCCGCATTTCAACCCCAGGCAGTTTGGCTTGACGCACCCCAGAGTTCTGGTCACAGGACTGCAGCCTCATACCAATTACACCTTCAACATTGAAGCCCTGAACGGAGTGTCAGATCTCAGCCCCAGTCCACGTCAACTAGTGTCCGTCAACGTCACCACCAGTCAGACAGGTGAGATGTCACACATCTAAATTCGGTGTTTCTCTATTTAACGATTTTTCTGCTTATTAGTAGCCTCTGATTTTCAAAGCTGGTGTCTGAAAGCTAATTTCTGCAATTAGCAGACACTTTCAGTTTTTCTTTAATTTATTTTTTAAATAAATTATTGCAGTTATTTTATCATGTTAACTACTGAGTTTTAAGATTAAAAAAATAGAAGCCAAATCTTGAAACTAATCTTGTATTAATACATTCAACTAATTTTTTTAGTTTATTTATTTTAATTAATTAATTAATATATTATATTATATTATATATTATATGATATTATATTATACACACACACACAGAGTAATATTCTTATACATTGAACATAAAACAATTAAATAAATTT